CTTCCCACAATCACACCAACTCTGGAGCTGGGCCCGGAAATGAAGCTTCATTCGACTCCACAAACATGCTCCAAAGCTGAAAAAAAATGTCACATGAAAACCGTGAGCAACTCCATCAGAATGTAGCGGCATGGGAAGAAAAAACCTCCCGGCATCTGTAGTGCGCCTTTGAGACGCAGGGCCCTATAGCCCGCCACACATACTCTAATAGACCGTGAGAAAACTGAACAAGACTTGAATAGAGAGGAAAAATATGGCTAAAACCCGCATGGTGCACTATCTTACAGCAAACGTGGTTGCTGTGGCTACTGGTATCATAGTACTGTAAACATAGCCTTAGATTTTGCTGCCATATTATACATTTCTGAACGGTGCCACATGAGAGCATGAAATGGGAACTGTGTCAATTGAACCATACACGGTAAATCCAGCCTTTTGCTTGGAATCGGCTATCATTGGATCGAAATCACGCTTCATTCAAATGGAGATACAAAACCACATTCACATTGGATATCTGCCAATGCTAGCGCAATGTAAACACACAAATCATTTGCATAAGACTGACATTTTATGTACTTACTGTTTATGATTTTTGTTTTCATATTAACATCAGTAAATTGCTGATACGCCACTTCCCTTTCAAATAGATAAAAGGAAAAAGAATTTCACTTAGTCATTTTCAGGGAGAAAAAAAAATCTTCCTATTCCCTTTCTTATTTCTCCTGTCTGATTTAGATCCCGCACATTCCCCCTTTCTAATTCCTTACCTGAGTAGGGCACAGATCGGCAGATTTTGCAGGGCATTGCGGTCCTTGTCTCACTTTCTTGAAACACAAGGTACAGTAACCACTAGAAGGGAGGCCCAAACTTTTTGGACCGAAGATCGACTTTTTGATCAACCAACCTCCCGCGATCGACCCGTTACCGTGCACGCACATACACACGCACGCCATGATGAGCAATTGCCTGACACGGAGGCATGCGATGCACTTTTGCAGCCTGTTAATTATCGTAGCTCACACGTACCGTTTTAAAGTGCTTCCCTGGGCCCTCTAGATTCCTATTCTTTGCCCGTGCCCTCGGTGAATTGTACACGAAGCAAACTCTGAATGAGAATAATGACGATAAAAGATATAGCGCAACAGGTCTGATCACAAGCTGCAATTGCAGACTACTGAGCGCTAACAACTTCCAGTGACCCAGGTCACGCGCCACCGTAGGTTAAAGATTGACCTGCTTTATTTTTTTTTTTTTTAATACTTTTTGTGAAAATGAGACTGATAGGATGATTAGGGTGCAATGTACATTAACACAAAAAATATATTACTAACATGCACAAAGACACACAAATGGTTGTTTGTTTTTTTTTTTTGTCCCCTAAACCCCTCGCGATCGACCAGTCCGCGATTTACCGGTCGATCGCGATCGGCGTAATGGGCACCTCTGAACTAGACTATATGCGATTCGGGTTTTGGGGGTTGATCAGTCATCAGCAATCAAAAGATGTGAAGAAACCAATACTCGATCATTGATTTGGTTGAAGATGGAGCAATAGATCTTTTTGAACAACTTGTATATTTACTCCACAGTTGACCCGCGCCATCGCGATAAGGCATTCCCAAATGTAATCATTTAAACCCCACAAAAGGTGGCCGGGGCTTTAATTTGCTCAAATTATTGCTATTGTGGTTCACCAACCATAAACCAGTCCACACAGTACTTACCAGCTACACCAGGTAACCGATGGCTGTTTCTTTTTGGCTCGCATTGGAAGCAGGGCTGGCTGTGTATTACAAGTCCCGGTGCCCACAGACCACAGTGTTTTTGTCCTACATCGTTTTTCCACTTTTTACTTGCCGTGTATGTGCTGCGTATGTGATGTGGTCACCACATTCTTGAAACCCTTTGGCTGCGATGTAGCTATAAAGACTCGCCTCTGTCTACGCACACTTTATACGTATGTAAGCGCATCGCCAGAATAGGTCAACTCACATTCGGCACGACGGCATTATATCTCATTTCCTTGTTGAGCAAAACTTTAGTGCGTCCGTGTTCAACAATGGAGCTCTTTCCGTGTTTGTTCAGACGAGCAACACGTCTGCCTGCTGGCATCTGTAATTGTCTGAATGTGCGTTCACCCATGTGCGCTGAGAAATGAAAGCTATGTTTGAATTAAAGAGATGACAAAATTTAATAAATAACACACATACTGTCGGTAGTTCTTTTTTGGGCGGGGAGGGGGGGGGGTGGCGGTAAATAAAAAGGTTTGGGGACTTTTTGTCAAATCAAAAAGAAAAATTACACGAACGCTGTGACTATGTGATTGGAAGGTTGAGGGCACGGAGGCAGAACCTCCGCGAGTGCACGTTTTTTCCGCTCCCATGACATGAGAGGCTGAATATAGTACATTAGCTTATCGGGCTCGCATACAAAATGTTAGCACAGAACGACCCCTGAAGTGAACTAGGTTGCTTTTGCTATTATGGCTTATTTGGCAATGCCGATCAATCACGTCATTGACAGGTCATGGAAATTATGACGTTACAGTCGATCACCGATTTTGCATTAAATACAATATATGTACCGATTTTGATCCAAGCGATCATATCGGACTAAAATCTCATCATAACTTGATGAATGTGATGTGTAATGATTGCAAAATAAATACACCTAACACTGAAAAACAATCAGTTGAATATGAAATTTAAAAAAAAAGTCATCCTCTGCTCAACTTTGGTTTTATTAGGAGAGACGCCCTTACTCATACGCAAATCATCCGAAGCACTGTAATGTTTACAGTTGCTATCTCGAGCCTGTTTTTTTTTTTTTTTCCACTCAGTATCGGTGTGTCACGCTGTTTACTTCCTATATCCTGTTGACGAGGCAAACCACAGAGAGGAAGAATAATTACCCAGTGTTCTCCAAGCATCTGCTCTCTGGAGATTGTGGGATGCTGAGCTCATCCAGCCTTAACTACATCGGCAGATACTCGCTCTTCAATCAAAACCACAAGGCTCTTTCAATAACACAGCATGCCATGAATGCAGTAGGAATGTTGCTCAGATATGAACAAAGAATTCTACATTCTGCATTCACGTTGCTTATCTTGGCTTCAATGTAGTAAAACACCGCATTCATGTCCGATATCTTTGTTAGAAGCGCCAGACCATTAATGTTACTGTGAAATGTGATCTTCTATTGTGGTTTGGCTTTTCCAGTGAATATGCGCTGATATTCGTGGCAAACGAGTACGTTAAGTCAGTATTGTGGACAAGATTTGTTTTTTTGTTTGTTTTTTTTTGTCTGTGAATGAACTTCTTTTCAAGGGAACTAAATCCGGGCAGGTAGAGTGAGGTGATTTGAATGTAAAACTTAAATTCATAAATGAATTAACAGTGCTTGATATTTGGTATTAAATGTACATGATAAAATTTAATAAAATTACAACTGCTGTAAATACTTCAGCTGGAACCTTAAAAAAAAAAAAAAATTCCATTGAAGAACCTGTGGTTTTATGAGCAGTATGAAGTGGGATGCTGACACATATCGATGGTGGCCATGGGACTTAACAGTTGCATCGATTTGATTTGTTTAATAAAGATAATTTACACAATTTTAAAACAGTTTGACTGTCTACAATGCCACTGCCATGAAGTCGAGTCAAGTACAACTTTATTGTCAAATGCGCTGTTTGTGCAACATACAGCACCGATGAAATTTCTTCCCTCTCAACCAGACAACAAGAGGAGCCACGCCGGGTGCCCGCGCCACCATCAAAAGAACAGTTAACATAAAATGACAAAATAATACAACACAACACATAAGACACAGACAGTCGTGCAATCTTAACCACTTTTCCTGCATACACTTTGTTGTTTGAAGCAGTCATAGATGAAAGAGGAGCGAATCAATCTATAAAATGTGCACGGGGAGAAAAAACAATCATCGCTGTTCCAGGTGTCCGGCATTGCAGCTTCGGTTGGCTTCCCAGAACAGTCTCATAACATAATCCAAAACTCAGAAGATCCTGATAACTGTATGTAGGATTTTCCCAAGATGGACTACTGTTATCACACAAAAGAAACACACAAATAACAAGAACAACAAAAAAAGCTGAGTGGGCTGTGAAGAGGCAGCCATTACATCTGTTGATGCCTCTGATTAGGCTGAGATTGAACCTCAAACTTAGACATTGATGCATGAAAAGAAAGCAGTGTGGGTGTCGATTAGCAGATGCACAACATCGACACAGCCAATGAAAACAAATTCAATGGTTACATATTGATAGGTAGCGCCAAAATCTACAAGTGGCGGCCAAAATTAATTTGTGGCAACCCGCCACAGATAAAGGGAAATGTGGGAAACCCTGCAGCTGTAATGTCATATTTCGTGGATGATCGTGTACAATATTAACAAAAATGTAAAATATTGCCCAATTGGATGTAGCAGATCAGATGGTGGAAAGTCTACCATGGAAAATGTGTGTATTTTCGTCATCGTCTGATGCTTTTTACTTATCTACAAAGTATTCTAAAAAAATCCTTTTTGAAACATTGTATCCTGGGTTCTAAATTAACACCCGCCAACCTGCCTATTGCAGGTTAAAATTCATTTAGCCAAGTTTTAATAAAAACGGGTGATGCATGAGGCAATAGTGTTGTTCAGATGCATGTACTTGGGCATCAAGTCTCGAGGATGGACTGGAACCGGGATGAACATTCCTATTTTACCATAATCGCTTGCATTTTAAATTTCCGGTACCCCGTTACGGTGGACACGGTGTCTCGTCCTCCAACCAGAAGAAGAGGCCAACAAGGTAGTGCGTAAACGCGTTCCTCGCATGGGTGCATCCGGGGCTGATTACAACTGTGGCCTAACTTTGTTAATGTAAATGAAGACTCACCACAGTGCAAAACTTAAAATAAGATTATATTGCCCAACAGAGGTTGCGTTGCGTCATTTGTGTAAATTAATGAAAGGACTGGTGTGTGTGAGGAGCTTGGTGCTCCCTCGCATCCAAGCCTCAGCCTCCAGTGCGCCGAGCTTCAGTGTGATAATCGGGTGAGTTCAACAATAAAATACGTCAATTGCCAACAGGGACACATCTAACAACTAAATGGCGGGTCAACATAAAAGCAAATAAACGGCTATCATGAGCATATGTACTGTATTTTCTCAACTGAGCAAGCGTGTGTGCCCACAACATGCACATTGTAAACACACGGGTTGCCAAATTGCTCTGTTTTTGTCTGTCTACACGGGAGGTTAGCCCATCAGTGGGAGCTCACTGGAGTGTAAAGTGATTACACTCATGAGGTTTTCAAAATTAAGTCTCTCCTGACCGGAGAAAGTTAGTCGTTAATCATTTCCATCCATCCATCAATTTTCGATCCGTTTATCCCCACAAGGGTCGCAAGGGGTGCTGGAGCCTATCCCAGCTGTCTTTGGGCAGTAGGTGGGGGACACCCTGAACCGGTTGCCAGCCAATCGCAGGGCACACAGAGATGAACAACCATTCATGCTCACACTCACATGTAGGGACAATATGGACTGTTCAATCAGCCTGTCATGCATGTTTTTAGAGTGCGGGAGGTAACTGGAGTACCCAGAGGAAACGCACACAGGCACGGGGAGAACATGCAAACTCCATACAGGAAGGCCGGAGCTGGAATCGAACTGTGCGGTCGACACGCTCATCACTGGACCACCGGGCCACCGTTTATCATTTCACTTTCATAAATTTGATAGTACCGTAAAACTGGTTAAAAATAATCCCTTGAGAAAGTCTTGGTAAAGTCCATAAAAAAAGTGAAAAATTCGTAGAAATAAATTTGCAGACCAGTTCAGATGAGTTGATCTAAAAATAATTCGTGAGCATCTCCGTTTCAAGCACGGGTGTCCATTTAACGCTAGACCAAATTATCAGTGTCGGTAATATGTGAAGCTATAATTTTTATTTAATAATAGTTAGATGTACTCAATAGATCGGGAAAAAAAATCTGGTGGGTAGTGAAGCAAAACCTGAATTATATCTCACGATTTCGTCATTTCCGGTGGCCCTATCGAATGATGACTGATTGGTTGAAAATAAGGACGTGAGATATGAGATCAAACGTCCTCTGTTCACCTCCCTTGTCACTCTATGTAGAAGGTAAATCCCAGAGTGCAAGGCGGGCAAAAGACACGGGCCGTGTCAAGTGTTCTTTCGGTCTGTGCTCGAGCTGGGCAATAGTTTGAACACCCCAAAGATAATCAAAATCAAGAATCGTTTGGAACCGGGATCGGAACCAGAATCGTTCAAATTCAAATGATGCTCACCCCTAAGCTATGTTTTGTTGTCGGTCATTTGTACATCCGGCGGATGGGAGACTGAATCGCAGCGGCTGTTTTTACCGCGCTCAAGTTCGTGTCTCATCTTATATTGATGGCGGTCAAGCCAGCCTTGAGTCAAAAACACAAAGTTAAGCCAGCCACCACAAAAGGACCTCACAATTAGCCTGTGGGCCTGTTCTCAAAATAGCTCACCGATGATGGGACATTTTCCAGGAATGTTGTAAAGATGATACTCGAATTGTAATGACTCCGTTGAATAACTACGTTGTTTACTGTCATCCTTCTCTGTTTAGGCGCTCGTGCGACTCCCCCCTCAAATCTCACAGAGTGAAGAAGTGCTACGCTTCTTTGAGACAAAAGCTGAGGACCTCAACCCCCCTGTGGAGTGAGTGTTGCTTACCGTGCATATACGCAAACATGGCACACAATTATGTCAAAGTCAGATGTGGGTTGAAGTGTCTATGTGGTGGCGTAGCTGAACCGAACATAGACACTTCATCTGTGACGTTGAGGCCTGGCTCCAGGACAGTCACTTTCTTGGTCGTTGACATAAAAGAAATACGTATCCTCCTCTCTGTAATCACTGGCAGTTTAAGTGCAGAGAGTTTGGTGGTAATATTCATTTTAACCACAGCAAAGCTTTTTTTTCACCTAAATGCAAAATTTTGATGAGAGCATTTTTGTTTCTCATGACGCGAGCGAGCGCTTCCGGGTGGTGGTGGTGGTGGTGGGGGGGAATAGTTGTCAACATGATGCAGTGCTGTTGTACAGCATACTAAAACCACACTTATACAAGAGCATATTATTTTTTTCCTCATGATATATTTTGTTTGTATGTAGCTCTTTCACTGTTTTTCATCAGATTGTGCAGCTTCACCCTTCGTTTTTTTGGAGAAAAGTCTCAACAGTAAAAATCTTAAATATTATTTTATTTGGGGGATAATGTTTCATTAAAGTGACCTTCTACACTCATTCAAGTCTTTATGAATGCATACATACTGTACATATACGCAACTAGTTACTCACAGTAAATACACGCGCAGCATACCTACAGTATAATGTCAGCTGATGGATTCAGCTAGAATTTCGCCTTTAGTCCATTAGAGCGTCATCTCTGACTCCACAGATTTGTTACAAGGCCATTTAATGAAGTGTAAGGGTGAGGGGGGAGGAGTTGAGGGATATGATAATGTAAGACACTTACAACAGCAGGAGATAGGCCCTTTGGGTATCTTTTAAATTGGTCACTCTCTTCTCCCAACTCGAGCGCAGGCTGCAGATTGTTAATTTATGCACTCCAGCCAAGTATTCTTGTTCAACCTTAGCCTGTCCTCTTGGCCTTTTGATTTCCGTCCCCTGCTTTCCTCCAAAGCATAATAGATATTCTTTAATTCTCTGTAAGTACAGTCCTGAACAAATTAATTACGCCCCCAATCCTAAAAATGGAGGGGGAGGGTACATAACCCCCCCCCCCCAAAAAAAAACATTAAACTTCAAATTTCAGTCTGTGATTTAAAAGGAACGCCAACTGTAATGGCATGTTCTCCCTCTATGATTTGTTTGTTAGTATCAATATATTTTGAAGATAACATTTTCGAAAATAATTTCCAGTTTAATACAGTTTGAAAAAACATTATTTATAGCAACTTTCTCCTCACTGTCCATGCTGTTTTTTTAATCTCTATTCTTTGTTCCTCTATCATCTCATGATTTTTTTTTTAATCTACCCTCAATAAATAAATTCTCTCATTGCTTGTGAGGAGTCATGTTTATGCGAGTGTAATTTGGTATGTAAGGAAACTGTATTTATCATGTCACGGTGAGTGAGAGATGAAGCCTCATATTCGGAGCATCAATAATGCGTTCATGTGCTCACCTCGCAATGTAATTAATCTGACAGACACGTAGTTGTTCATTCAAGACGCTAAAATTTTTATTTAGAAGAAATTGAATATACAGGCTTTTACTCTCTGCTCGAAGGACATTTACGGATCATTAAAAGTATTACAGTTGTTCATGTAAATTGATTTAATGGGATTCTGTTCTGGTGATCCAGATCTATATATTTTGTGTTTGTTTTTTTTTTTTTGGTCAGTGCTCAAGAGACACAAGTGATAATAATCTTTGACATTTAAGGAATTGTCAGCCGTCTAAAAAATGAATGAATACATTTGAATGATGCATAACACGAGAAATGAGCCAAATTCAGACTCTATGTGCTTGTTTTCAACTTTCGACCAATTCTCAACCTTTAAACTTTCATTAAATTTTCATTGTATTTATCACTATCAGATTAAAGATAAGAAAGATCAGTCGGATTTTGTCGAAAGTTAACTCGCCTCTTATGTGGATTACAAGTTTGGGACGGTTTTATATATATATATATATATATATTTTTTAACCTGTATATGGTAATTGGTCGCTACTTCTTTATTTAGTTAGTTATTTGCTTGCTTGCTTGTCCTGATCCGATTGAAGCTCCGTAAATTTCTGACTTCCAGTAAATATGGATTAGTGCAGGGGTGGCCAACCAGTCAGAGACTAAGAGACAATTTTTGTTACTGTGTTACTGCACAGAGCCACATCGCACATATGCACACGCGCGCACGAGCGTGCATGAGCTGCAGTAGTTAGTTACTACTTGGGTCAGCTTGCTACATATTTGATAGAAGATCAACTTTTGAAGCGACGAAACTCCCGTCATCGACCCGATTGCGCACGTGCAAGCATACACACATGCACGCGCCCGCGCACACACACACACACACACACACACACACACACACACACACACACACACACACACACACACACACGCGCGCACACACACACACACACACACACACAAACACACACACACACACACACACACACACACACACACACACACGCGCAGGCACGCACGCACACGTGCGCATACGCAAGTACACATAGACACCGAGATGAGCAAGATCCGTAACTTGACTGAACACGAACGAAATCGAAACATGCAGACATACACCCCCACCCCCCATTTCCTTTTCCCAATGCTCGCGCTCGACTTGGGACCAGTCCGCTTGCTCCGGGTCGATCACGATTGACGTATTGGGCACCCCTACCTTAAAAGCTGACTTGCTTAGCGCTTAGCGCTGAGCACCGTTGTTTGCGCATGAGCGGTGATTCAGTTGTCATCTGATTGGTTGCCCTGTATGTCAATCAAGTAACGGGATTGATGACAGGCTGACATAGTTCTGTGTACTTAGCGCCGTTGTTTGAATGGCAGTGCCACCACTGAGCTGTTTTCGACGCTTGTCATGTGAAAGCTCGGGAGCCGCATTGAACCAGCTAAAGAGCCGCATGCGGCTCGCGAGCCGCGGGTTGGCTACCCCTGGATTAGTGAGTTACCTTATGTGGAAATGGAGAGAATGATGATGCCTGTTACATAAAAAGCCCTAAAAATGGCACATATTAGCTCAGAGAAACTACTGCGTATGACAAAAACAGCCATACACAAGTGAAGCTCGTAACAGATAGTGAATGTTATTGTTTCTTATATGAAACACAGAAACATACTTAGCCTTCATCAATTCATTTTATGTAATGCATATCCTGGTCAGGGTTGTGGGTGAGAGTTTATTAATATTAATATTAATAACAATAAGATATCCTTTATTTGTCCCACACTGGGGAAATTTACAGTCTATAGCAGCAAGATCGTGGGTAGAAAGAAGAAAGAAGAAAAACAAAGTGTTTGCATTCACAAAATAAATGTACAATTAATAAAGGCTCACATGACGACAACAGTCTGACCATAGAATGAAAAATTGTCTGTGTTTACTATTTAGGAAAAGTGCAATGAAATCTGCATTTAGATTTATCAGAAGTGCAGATTTGTCCTTTTGGCTGTGGGCTAGGGAACGGTATCAGAGAGTAGAGTACTTTACTGGTTCTTTATTCCTGCCTTGCTTTAATCCTACTGGACAAAAATGTCTCTATGCCGGTAACAACTGATAATAGTTCACCTAGTGTTAAACAAGGTGGACAGTTGGAATCTAGTGAGAAACAGGGGACCCGTCAAGGAAGAGTCCGGCTGGTTCGGAGGCCATGGGCTCATTGGAACCATCAAGACTTCATCCATCCATCCGTCATCTGAACCGCTTATTCTCACGAGGGTCGCGGGTGTGCTGCAGCCTATCCCAGCTGTCTTCGGACAGTGGGCGGGGGACACCCTCAATTGGTTGCCAGCCAATACCACGCATGTTTTTAGGAGGTGGGAGGAAACCGGAGTACCCGGAGAAAACCCACGTAGACACGGAGAGATCATGCAAATTCTACACAGGAAAGCCGGGGTCGGAATCGAACCCTGCACTGTGAGGCCAATGTGCTCACTAGTCGACCACCATTTCACCCTCCAGACTTCATGCTTGGGGGAAAAAAAATAATTTCATTTTGGAATGGGGCTGCCACATAAAATGTAAAAAGCAAAGCACTGTGAATACTGTACTTTCGAATGCACTGTAAATGTGGGCTGTGAGCTTCTCGGAGGGGAAGGGGGCCCAGAATTTGGCAGTGGTGACCACCTCCATTCTTTAAATTTTTATTTATTTAATTTTTGCAAGAAAGACTCGCATGCTAACAGCACACAAAATCCTTTTTTTAAGCAACTCTTGTTCAAAAAAACTATTCTGGACATCTGCAGAAAGGCAAAAATGTTTACTTCCGCCTCACTGTGTCACGTTTGCAAGGTGGTGGTGGACCCCAAAAAGCAGGCAGACCTGAAAAATTTTATTAAAACACAGAAAACGAAATCCAAAAACAAAGTCCAAAGAACACAACGAATCCAAAGTAACAAACAAAAACCATGGCAGAAGCTAAAAACTCTCAAAAACAGAAACATGACCGAAACAAATCTGACAGAAGCAACCAGCAACAAAGAAACAAACAAGCAACAGTAGCAAAGAGTAACAACAATGACCCGACACTGAGTGGTCGTGCCGGGAGTACTTTTATACGACCGGTACTAATCACATAATGACCAACAGGTGTGCAGCTGCAGGGAGAACCCTACAGTGCCACCTATTGGTCACAAACAGAATCATGACACACTGAAACCTGAATGAAAACATGGCCTTAGTACAGCGGTTCTTAACCTTGTTAGAGGTACCGAACCCAACCAGTTAATATGCACATTCACCGAACGCTTCATTAGTGGGAAAAAAAAAAAAAAGAATTTTTACAAATTCAAGACATAAAAAAAACACATTTATTAAAAACTGAAATAATTAACACAATTAGTATGAAGTATAATTTTTTTAATTGTGCACAAAATGAACCAGCCAGTGATGGCCAAGCGGGCGTGTCATAACTAATTGACATGTTGAGTTGGGTGTGTCTTAACCTCCATGA